AAGCCTTTCGCAGATTGCTCTTGTTCGTTAGGAGAGGGATGGGGTGCAGGGCTTTGCGTTGCCTTAAGTATTTGCCTTTCTTCAACTCTGAGCTTGGGATTGTTTGTAAAGTTGAACTGTGTGTTTTTGTGAAGTTATGAACTTGCCTTTTTCCCCTTGGTGAAATGTAGAGATGCCTTTATACTGCCATCTTCTGTCCTTTTTTGTAATACTCATACCAAACTCGTTTTTTTTCCAACTGTTTACTTCAAAGTAAATAAACTCAAAAAACGTTGAGCGATGTCTGCCTGTGTTTTATTTTGAGGTCAGAAGGGTCTGCATAGTTTGTGTTTTTTATAAAATCTAAAATCCATGGTAATTTGCCCCTTAGAAAAGGTTAGGAATCTGGACAGATCAGGGGATTAATTGCGTTGCGGTCTCTTTAAGACAAATGGTATTCTTAGGAGATTTAAAAAAAAACAAAACCTGCTTGGAGCAGCCAATGATTCTGTCATCATTGATGTTTCTATCCCTCTCCCTTCCTCTCTGAAATCAATACAAAAAAATTAAATAATAATAATAAATTAAACCTGCTTATTTACAGTGGGTTGGGTTTGTGGGTCCACATAAAATAAGGGCTACTGGCATGGGTACCTCAAGAAGAGTGGAGAGGTTTGACCCCATGTGAGGGTGGCCTCAAAAGGAACTTGGGGTTATTCCCCAAACAGGCAAAGGAGAGGCAGTTAGATGGGAAGGTCATGGCTAGTCATTTCTGTAAGTACATCTGACATATCAAAGCCCTGATATTTAATCTGGATTCAACATCACAGAGAAAGCGAGGCTTAAACCACAGTGAGGAGATGTGAGTTCAAGCGCTGATCCCTACTTCTTACACTTATTTTATTTTTTGTTCATTCTCACCTGAGGAAATTTTTTCATTGATTTTTTAGATTGGGGTGGGGGGGGGAGAGAAACATAATTTGAGAGAGACACATCAATCAGCCCCCTCCCACACATGCCCCAGCCAGGGCTGGGGACTGAATCTGCAACTCAGGTACCTGCCTTGACTAGGAATCAATCCTGAGACCCCCGCAGTGTGCTGGCCCATGCCCTAACCATTGAGCCACACAAGCCAGAGCTACTTCTTATATTTTTTATTTTTACTTTTTTTAAATGTATTTTATTGATTTTTTACAGAGAGGAAGGGAGAGGGATAGTTAGAAACATCGATGAGAGAGAAACATCGATCAGCTGCCTCCTGCACACTCCCTACTGGGGATGTGCCCGCAACCAAGGTACATGCCCTTGACCGGAATCGAACCTGGGACCCTTGAGTCCGCAGGCCGATGCTCTATCCACTGAGCCAAACCGGTTAGGGCTACTGCTTATATTTTTGAAATGAAAGGGTTTGGCTGATACCTCAGCTTATAGTTATTTATGAAAGGATGCTGAGATAGAAATGCCACATTTCCAGCAGCAGCTAACTGTACTTTCAGTGCACCGCTGAGCTCCTCACAGAGGTGTCATTGAGAATTGGGTGCCTGAGCAAGGACTCCGGTGTCTTAGTGCTTTTATGTGCCAGGTACTGGGGCCCTTTATGTTTACTAACCCTCATTCCAGTATTTGACTTTCACGGGTGAGCATATGGGGAAACTTAAAAGTACTGGCTTAACTAAAATTATTTATAGGTTAAAAATAAGCTCCAGTTCAGCAAAGATGTTGAACCTGGACTCCTACTCAGGTTTCACAGGCTTTTGCCACGCTGCCCGTAGCCCACAGGGCTTGTTGTGCATGCCTGCTTCTGGGTTATGCCTAGGTTTCACAACCAGTGCCCCCTTTACCTTCACTCTACACAGCCCTAAACCATTATGCCAGATAAGCAGTAGGATTGATGACCACGGTTTGGTATTCGCTAATTGAGGAGAGAGGGAGAAACTTGCAGTCCTATGCTGGGAAGTCTTTTAAAGGCTGCTTTCCCTTGAAGATGCTTCATGTCCTAGCTGCTTGCATCCTAGAAGTCGCCCCTCCACAGCCTCCTTGTTGGAAAAGGCCTGGCATGATCCTTAGGCTTGGGGAAAGAGCCCCCTTAAAAAGCATTTGCATTTTGGGGTTACAAAGATGATTTAGAACTAGATTGAAAAGATAGTTGCACAACATTGTAAATGTACTAGGTACTACTGAATTGTACACTTGAAAATGTGGTGTTTTTTAAAATAGATTTTTAATTGATTTTAGAGAGGAAGGAAGAGGGAGAAATAGAAACATCAATGGTGAGAGAATCATTGACCGGCTGCCTCCTGCACGCCCCCTACTGGAGGTTGAGCCCGAAACCCGGGCATGTGCTCTTGACCAGAATCAAACCTGGGACCGGACCCTTCAGTCCACAGGCCAACGCTCTATCCACTTAGCCAAACCGGATAGGGCAAAAATAGTTATTTTATGTTATGTGAATTTCACTTCAACAATAAATACAGTAAAAAAAAAAATTGTATCCACATTCCATAAGAGCACTTTGTGAGCTTAACGTATACCGCAAAGCCAACCAAGCCTTTCACTAAATACTTGCCTTTGAAGAAAATCCAGTATCAGGGAATGGCACATACAGGTAGACTTTGCTTTTAAGTTTGTAACTGGAAATCTAAGAGGTGCTTAGGCTTCCAGGCTAGCTTATAAGAAAGCACAGTTAACCTTCAGAGTGGTTGAACTGGAGCTCTGTGGACACTTCGCTACTCATCTTCCTGGGGATGTGCATTTGCAACAGGACC